AGAGAGAGAGAGAGAGAGAGAGAGAGAGAGTCCTTCTAGTTAATGATCTTAAGAGTTGAGCGATTTAAAGGATTTTTAAATTTAAATAAATCGATAAATTATTCCTAACCTTAAAACCTGTGCATTAATTTCAATATCACTCGTCTCTCTCTCTCTCTCTCTCTCTCTCTCTCTCTCTCTCTCCACCGCAAAAATATGATAACAATTTTAAAAGTGCACAAAAATGTTGTCTTCAATTATAAAAACACAAAATCATTATTTTGTTTCATTAAATGCCAAATGATATAAAACGCTGTTTTTCTTTCAATACAAAACTCATGATATAATTATTTTGTCGACAAAAGCCTTGAAAGTAATGTATAATTATATTGTGTTATTCAGTGAACACTGTTTTCTTCTATCAATCTTCAGATAAACTTTTCATTTAATTGCAAATTTGAAATACATTTAAAGCTTTTGTGCACTTTAACCAATAGTGTACACATAATAATGTATATAATGTATCATTTATTATAGTAAACAATAAGCCTTCGTATTATTTTTAAATAAAATGTCAATGTTTTCTGTTATTTCTAAATTGTTTTATTATTTTTATTTTATAAATAAATTAATAATTAATGTTTAGTGACGTGAGGGAAGGGTTTGTGAGATAATTACTATAATTTCAAATTAATTTGTAACAATATATTAATAGTTATTGGAAATAATTTGTGTGATTGAGAGATAAAAGTTTCTAAAAACATTTTAATTAATCTAAACTAACTAGTACATATTATATTGTTTGTTTAATACATACAAATATTTCAAATTGTACTTGTACGAATTATAATAAAAATGTAATGCTGTTGCAATTATATTTGTTTAACAAGTTCTGAATGTACTAAACATTTTTTAAAGACAAATGTACTAATTGTAAGTCATTCTCCTTATTAAGGTATTTAAGGCTTATATTGCGTGCAATAATTAGGTAATACTAAATCTTAAGTTATATAACAAATTATCATCATTTTTGAGACGTGTTTTCATCGTTTAGTCGCCGGACTTTCATCCTATGAAACAAGTAAATCATATTTTAATGCATTGGAAAACGAAATAACTTTTTTATTAAATGAAAATATTGACTTATTTCACAAACTAAAAGTGATATTAAATATATAAAAATTATATTTATATATTTAATGTTTATTTTAATATAAAACCGCAAAATTTCCTTTTTCTAATAAAATAAAAATCAATATATTTTATAACTGTAGTTCGGGCTGTATAAACAGTGTTTAATAAACACTTACCGTCTGTTTTGAAACCACACTTTAACCTAAAAATTGAAAATAATTTTTAATTAATTGAAAATTTATACTAAATTTTGCGTTCAGTAATCAGTAAGAAAAATATTGGTAATAATTTGCAGAACATTACATTAAGGCAAATATTTACTGTAAAACAAATGTATTCATAAAACAAAATTAAAAGCAATTGAATAGCATTACAAACCTGGCGTTCCGTCAGATTTAATTGTACGGCAATTTCGTACCGCCGGAGTCGTGTCAGGTACTGGTGCTGAGAGAACTGGGCCTCCAATGACTCCAACTGTTGTTTACTGAATAGTGTCCTCTCCTTACGACTCACGGCCCCGACGTCGTCGGTGCCGACACCGGCGCCGGACACTCCATCGGCGCCTCCACTCTCGCCGTAGGACTCATTGTATTGTTGATTCATATTGTAATTATCGTCACAAATGTAATCCATTATTAAAATTTGATTTTTCACTTCAAAATTATACAATAAGTTATATTTTTGGTTACTTTTATACACTTGTGTTCATGGCAGTGATGCTAAATTATATGAGATTCAACTAAATAAATTTTATTTGTGCACTTTCTCTCAATACAGTCCACATATTATATGGTTAAGTGTTTCACCACATGTTCGCTGGGGTTTCGGAGCTGGTGTTCGGGTGGGCCGGAGACAAGTGGTGACAGATATTTATTGCACTATTCTTGTGGATAAACTCATTATTAATTACCACAAAAATTATTGAACAGTTTCTGTTTGGAAATTCTGAATCAAAAAAAGTTGTTTATATTTGTTTGACGAATGAATTTTTTACTATTTTTTCGCTTTATCTAAAATAAAGTGTGTTTACTGTAATGAGTGGGCACTCTATCAGTAGCCGGGCATCAGTTGTATCAATGATCTGTGATGTGAGTTATTTCCACTCGATGAAAAGACACTTCCCGCTCTCTCTCTCTCTCTCTCTCTCTCTCTCTCTCTCTCT